AACGGTGCTATCGATCAGAGAGAAGCAGAATGTGTTGGAAATGCTGAAACAGCCAGGTGCAACTCAGTCACTTGGAATTTCACGGAAAACTATCCACAATGTTGTGTCCCATGCAACGATTATCAGGGAATTTTTGAACGCTGGTGCATCTGAGGGAAGATGCCACCTGAAAACCCACGAAAAGCTCAAGGCAGTGAGTCAGGCAATTTTGGCTTGGTTAACCGCTATAAGGGAAAAGCACGGAAAGTTCCCAATGGTGGAGAGCGTCGTACGTAAGTAGGCAATCCAGCTAGCACAAAGATTGCATCATAATGACTTCAAGGCTTCCAAAAGTTGGTTTTGCTCTTGGTTAGATAGATATGGTATTCAGTCGTTCAAAGTAAGAAACAAGCAACTCATGTGCATTACTTTATAGGTCTGTGGGGAACGTTTATCGGGACCACATGATGTGGTGGATGAGTTTCGAGCCTTCCACGCAGTTATAATTCTTCAAAGAACGCATGGATGACTTCTACGTTATTTCACAGTTGGTTGTCCGATGTCAACCGCAAAATGGTTTGTCAAAGACGATCTATTTTACTATTTATGGACAACGCCCCTTGCCATAACCAAGCCGCGGTATTTTCCAACGTCAAGTTGGTACGTCTGCCTCCGAACTGTTCTTCGATGTTACAACCAAGCTTGGGTGTCTGTACACCCACACATTACTGATCAACGCTTTCATGAAAGCAGGGTTCAAATCCACATTGATTCAGCCGGTGATGCAGCCACCAGGATAATTGGCGATTTGATCGAGGACTTTACACATTGTGTCTATTGATGGCCGTCTTTTTGAAGGAGAAATCGCCTGTTTGGAAGATAATGATGAAGAAATGGGTTATTTAAAATTTTTGTAGCAAGTCTCTTTTTGGTCATTAAATGAATTCGTTTCGCATCAAGCTAAGCATCGCAAAGAAGAAGATGAATGCGAGGCAGTGAATGCCCCAGAAGTTATCTCAGTCAGTGAGGCGCAGAAGTTATCGGATCAATTGATGCTCTTTGCCTTGGCTAAGGCTCGGAGTTCGGGTCGATTATTGGAGTGTACAGCGCGTTTGTTGATTTCCAACGGAGAGCCAAGCTGAGACAAACGACGATTTATGATTTTGCTAAAAATAGATCTTTCTAATCTGGGAAGTTGTTTTTGCTATTCTGTGGGGCACTGAACTGAAATGTGAGGCACTCGAATGTGGTCATTTTTGTTACAGTGGTCACCAAAGCCACGGGCATTCGGTGTATCGATGGCCTCTATAGCACTAACGTGCAAATGGGTGAACCATATTCGCGATTGACTGGTAAGCGGGTGAGAGGAGTGAGCTGTCAGATCCGAGCGATCGATGAACACCGTCACACGGACGCACCTATGTGAGTGGATGAACAATACTCTACTCTTGGCCTAGAGCACCGATGAAGTTAGACAGTGCACCTGCGAAAGGTCATCGTAACCCGGGTCTAAGGCGTTTGTAAGATGCACTTTTAGCTTGTGGTGATTCTCTGCCAACACTTAGCATCAGATTCGGAACCTTACCTTCTCCGGTGTCGGCCCGAAAATCACACGACCGGTCGGGTTCATTTATCGATCGGTCGAGTGGTCCAGCCGCAACAGGGGACCTGGTGCTTGCCCAGCTAACCCGAGCGAGAAACCACACCTTGTGTCTTAGGCAGGCCCAGTGAACTTTGACTGCGCAACAGGAGTGCCATCAGCACACGGGTGGACTGAACGTGACAACAAGATCATCACAAAAGTAGAAGACAATGTGAACCGATGGAGTAATCGGACTATGGTACTATCCACATAGCAACATGACATCTTAAATTCAAAAAGGTATGGAATCACGTTAGGGCATCACTAGTTGAACTTAGTCCGATCAACAACGGTCATGACGAATGCATCAATCGGTTTGAACATACACTGGTAGCAACAGAAACGAACGAGCGAATAGATGTCTACAGACGTTAACGATACACATTTTTCAATAGAAAATCATGAATAGATTGCACAACGAACAATCAGTTTGAATCTGGGAAGGAAGTCAATGTTCTGAATATATCTTGTAGCAGATATTTCACTCATTTTAGATGTTACTTCCTTCTCACTGTATTCGAACTGGCTCACCTTTATTTTCCTTGAATGGGTTAAAAATGATGTGATTATTATGGCTAAAACAGTTGTATATTATGGTGGAAGTTATCTAATCAATTCTGTGGTTAGCCTAACGTTGCAACGGAATAGAGGAATATGTGGAATTAATATGGGATAATTTGGTCAGAAAAAGTTCCCCTGAAGAAACGTAGGTAGATTCGAGATACCTAGACAGAACCGAAAAAGGCTGAATACCGGATGCAATGTACCGATAATAGGCTGAGGGTGTCATAAAATATTTAAATTTCTGCGATACATACAGGATACGCAGGACGGTAGATTTAAATTCCGTTATAAATAAACAGTTGATAATCATAACTATTGGGAATAACTAACGAGATTAAGCTACTTTTCAAAGATCCGGTTTATTTTGTCACAAAATTGTCAACCGATGTTTATACTACTTATTAGCACCTACTACTGTTTGCCCTGCTATGTCGCAGTCCCTGAAATTTACCCACTTTTTCGAATTCCCGAGGGGTGCAACATAGCAGGAGATTGACTGAAATTGGAAACTCAAAGATTTACACTGCGGTTCTGGTGAATCATCAGACAAAGGTCAACCTGCATCCCGGTCGGGTGCTGTAATACTCCACTCCACACCTGCCAATCCAACCTACACAAATGACTACAGTCGTGGATGCAGTCATGTGATGCATAACACAGGCACGCACACCGTGACAATCCTTACCAGTCAGGTGACACGTACAAGGACAATTCAACCAGTCATATGACCATTCACGCACTAACCGCATCTGTCACCTCACCCTTCTGACCCATTCACGCACTGATGAACCCAACAATCAGTGACTTTCGCCGATCAATTTTGGGTGACTAGGATCTAACGCAATCGATTACATGTCAGACCAATAGGTACGAACTCTGGATATTACGTTATTTATTTACGGGGATTCGGGAAACCTTGTTCGTGAAGATAAGGTCACAAGAATGGCCAATCAAACTGGAAAATATTTCTTATCCTATACCACTACACACAAATGGTCTCAAATCAAACCGTAAATTNATAATTAGTACTTTTGACGGATAGAACATAGGTCCGCGATTACAATCTATTTTGTTCACCACCTCAGTCATTACGTCCCTACACGCTAGCCACCACGAAAGCGATCGACATTCGCTTGTCCGCACCTAACCTATGTGAGCAAAAGAGATTGGTATTTGCCATTTCACTGTCATGATCGAGTACCTGTCGCACATGTGACACATTACAGCGTGATTGCAGTATTGTCATCTGCTTATCGAAAAGTAACGGTTTTCGTATACCATATTTCGGGCCTGGGCGTAACCCACCTGTCCAAGGGTTTATTGGAATGTGACCACTGATGACTGCGTTGACCTCTTGGAGCATTTGTGGATAGTTTGTGGCGAACAAGGAGGAGCCTTCCCCCAAATACAGGACAGTCTACTACCTCATAATTTCCACTTCTGCCAGATTCACCCCAATTTATGGAGTTCTTTAAAGAGAATTTCGCGGAGAGCAATATCATTTTTGTGTAATTCAATTGATTTTATTCACTGTAGAATTAACCTATATTTGATAGAATATAATGCATAGTTTTAAACCTTTGCCAATTTTCGGTCGATTAGTTAATTATATGGTAATTTGGTTCAGGAAAAGTGAAAATATTCATCCGATATCGCAAAGAATTGAGGCAATCGGCAGAGATATTAGAAAAATGTTCACAACGGACGTAAGCAATTGCATCACACAGTCATTGTTTACCAGTACTTTGCGTTTACTCTCATAATTTTACAACTATGTGAAAGAAATATGGAACGACTCGTGACCCAGCTCGTAGGGCTTAAAACGTACGGAGAAGTAAACAGCATTCTTAAATGTATTCCAATCCCACCTAGACCAGTGATCTTTTCACAATTGGATTAGATGAAAGAAATCCTACCGGAATACCTGTCGTGTCCAGATTTATCGTTTCGACAATTCCAATATCGGATGGAGAAATCCGGACAGCTTAGTTGCAGTTAAAATGATACAGAGACGGAGGAAAAGATAGACCACATTCCGAGCATTTGTTTTCACAAATTAAGCTGTAATTCACTCAGTAGGATTTATGTCTGTTGCGCCCTTTGAGGGATGACTCAGTGGTTGTGCTGGGCCGAACGGATGCGTATGTGAGATGTGTGCGTGCATGCGTGCATGCGTGCGCGTGTGTAAATGCTTCGGAACAGGAAATTAGCACAAAACAATAACGGTGTTTGCGTGTGGGCGGACGCGGTCTGGGGGGTGGGAGTGGGGTGAGCGACGACTGACAGGGGATTGTAGAGGGAAACAGAGAGATAAAGGGAAATGAAAACAAGAATATACACTTATGGATGGGAGAACAGTTCAGGTGAACTCCCATCCGTATTGGCTGCTCGTTTGCTTTCTTCAGCTAATTGGGGCAAGCGAAAAAGTCGTTCAGGTCAGAAATTTGAAAAGATAAAAATAAAATTGAACTTGACAACTTGAAAAGTGCTTCGGTTCTCGTGTGTCATTTCAGTGGGGGTGGGGTGTGTTTGGGACGAGAGAATACGCATACATAAATTAAAATTCAACCTCAAGATTGTCGGGATGTTCAGCAAGTGAGCGTAGAAAAGGACAAGCGGTGTATTAGTAAATCAGTTTCTCGTAGGGGGCATGAAGTACATGTAGAACGGTTGAACAGATTTAACATTGATATAGACTGTTCAACAGCTTGTTGTGGTATGCATTACAAAAGAAACAATAATAATAATGACGATAATAATAATGCTTTCATCCGTAAAGCGACAATGATTGCGATTCATTCGAAGCCGCAATGGCCTATGTGGAACGTTGCTTTGAGATATCGCCACAGGCTGAAGTGGTCAGTGAAGTGTTCAGTTCGGTCGAGTCAAGTTTCTCGGTGGACGTCCTATCCATTCCAGCAGTTTGTTGTATTAACGGATCGGGACCGTTCTCTCGGCTCACCGCATTCTCGTGTGGATCGTAAATTTTGTTCAATGGCTCATTATGTGTCACCTGCACACCAGTAGTTTTGTGATCGAATAACAATTCGTCTATATCCGTATGTCTCATGTCATCCTCGTAGAGGTGTTCCGCAGCGGTATCTACTGAGCAATCTTTGTGAGTTAACGAAGTCACAAATGAATCCGGATAACAAAATCGATCGGCATCGGGCAATGTGCTTTTGTTGAAAAATTGTGTCATCGATGCACCAAGATGAAATGGTGTACGAGTTTCGTCACACGTGACGTTGACTGTTCGACTGACTGGAGAAAAAATGTTTTGAAAATTGTTTCTGTCCGTGGTTGTCAACCTTCCGGGTAGCTGCTTGAAAAAAATTTTCGGATCGAATAATTGTCGAAAGCGGTTTAATCAGAGATTAGGTCTGTCAAGGCTTTTGGATAACTTGGTTAATTAAGTATCATTTATTATCATGAGAGTCACTTTAGAGATAGACCACTTGGATAAGAATGTTTTACTTTCCAGTTTGCTATTTATCTGAAAATAGGTTCAGAGCGAATACACCTGGTTTTTTTCAGTCCTTCAGGGGTTTGATGCTTTCTTTGTGTTCCGACCATAATGTAGCATAAATCACCGGCCACTCAACGTTTCGACTAGTATTCGACTACCATCGATACAGCTCAACTTCCTCTCTTCCTTATGTGACCCGTAAGTCTTTGACCGATCAGGATCCTACCCGGTAAAAAGATCACACGTCTGTGTCCAAATTGGAACTTGAGAACGTCTTCATCATCGTAGTATTTCGAGTGTAGATAAATTTGTTTTTTTTGAAACTTTTTGTCCCCTTTTTCTGCTTCATGAGTACAGGAAGAAAACAAGCGTTGTGCTATGGTTGTTGTCTAGCTCAGTAATGCCCCCGAATCATCACCGAACCTTAGGTTTTAGACTTCCAACTTTTCTTGGCTGTGATTTTGTAGAGATAAATATACATTATTATTATTGATATTACGCAATACTAAGCTTACAACCATAAAATTCCTTTTGTTCTGGAGAGAAACTTTATTGCGGTACTGCAATTGGCTCTTTACATATTTGGTGAGTTATGTTTCGAACTCATTTTGTTCCTAGTTTTACGTAGTTTATAATGTACTCCCATAGGTGCAAAGGCCCTCGACTGTTTTAATAAAATGTCTGTCAAGTTATCACTATTTAAATCCGGAAGTACTAGAAAGTGAACTTCGATAATTGCCAAATGCTTTGTTTACTATCCTTTGCCGTTTAAACAGAAATGTACCATACCTAACATCCTCAGGCCAGAGTACATAAAGGCCGAAATGAAACCCGTTTTCCTTATTGTTTCATCTATAGGAGGTGATCTAGCTGCACGGGATAGCAGTTCACTGCGTGCCACAATTGAATCTATCTATCCTATAGCAGACCTCTTCATGATTAAGAGGACAATCAACTAACTAAATCGTTCAAACGTAGAGAAATCCAAAGAATCAGTTACCTCCAATGCACCTATCTTTTTCAATGTACATGCTGCTCGTGGTATCTTGGAAAGACTGAACGCTGACAGTCGATCAGAATGAGTAAGCATGCTCAGAAAACCGTGGCTTTTCGAGTAGGCAATCTTCTAGCAAGCTCAGTGACACGAAATCTGTTGGACACCGGACACTGCATCGAGAACATAAAGGTTTTCCATCTTATTCTCAAACTTCGAAGTCCAAGGATGTCTAGATTAGCGGTTATCATTAGCCGTTTGAAGCCTGAAATTGTGCGTCAAAGGCCGTCGTGACGCAGTTACTATTTAAACAGATGAATTGATCATAGTACAGTGTCTAAATCTAACACACTACGACGAAAGTGGGCAGCACTGCATAGCTGTTTTTACCTGTCGTTGGGCTCCATCAGAGTAAAACTGCCCCATGCGTCTGATGGCTCTAAACTGATTGTGCTGAGTTTTCGTTCGCACACGTTACTACTACGACCCGACTCCAATTATTGGTCTTACCTCGATACTATATACACCATTATCTTATCTGTCTCTGCCGTCGGATGTTGACAGAAATCGTGGAATTAGGAATCTGCAATAGGGCTGAATTACATACGCACAACAATGTGCAACATTTTAAATAAACCAGTGAAACTCGATCGTGGTTGGGAAGCTTTTTCCGAACTCATACTATGAAATCGAAGCGAAAAGAGTTTGAAAGAACTAAAGATATAATCTCACAGATGAGAGTTAACCAATACTCTAGTGGGTCCCGAAGCATTTTCCACGAGTGACATCAACGAAACTACCCATTTATTGAACTGAGGCATACAGAGAGATAGGCTCAGAAGTATAATAGAACAACCTGTTTGGGGCCCGTCAGCAGTGTGTATCTTTTGTCTCTGACTGTGCCGAGGAACATCGTATCGATTATGAAAACACGAAAATTCTCCAATGAGGTTTTCGGACAAACACCGAGCGCCTATACGCCGAGGCTTTGGCAATTAGTGCCCATCCTGGGTGTATAAACCGAAACGACGGGGCAGGGGTTTCGAGCATCTGGACAGCGTTAACATCACTTGCCAGCACTCGTCCTGACGCTGATTTGACCTCAGATAACACCGTTCCCACAGACAAACATTACACACACGGATGGGCCCAAAGCCCGATCCGGATCAATGACGTACAGACAGACAAGGACACAGACATACACGCAAACGCACACACGCACACACACACAATGCGTGAGAGGTTAGTTGGCAAACTGTTCCTGACTCATTCGATTGTAAAATCGCCTTGATAAAGGTTACCCACGGTAACCGAAACGTCGGCTTATTTTCACCTGTACCGACATCGCTGTTTTCAAAATTACAAATTACATAAAACATATCACATGGCGCATCGATTTTTCGATACACTCCGAACAATGTTCGGATCTGACACTCTGTCAAGAGCGCTTTGAGCATCTTCCCTATCCTCGAACAGAAAATCGATGTCGCCAGAGTACTCAATCGCACAACTTTTCTCCAGCTACACATTTAAAACCAACATCTTGAAAGCCACTTAATGCGTTCTCCAGTAGTTCGTCTAAGATGAATTTGAAAAGAAACGACGAAATAGTGCACCCTAGTACACCGCTACTGGTTTCGAACGATTTGCGTAGCCCACCGTAGACCCTTACACTGAGTGGTAACATAAGGTAACTTCGCTAGTTAGTATCATTGTGGTGTATGATGTTAGATATCCAATCGACCGATTACCGCTGTCATACCGATGCGCCTGTAACAATATGTGAACGATAATCATGGATTTCCTTGTTGTAGCACAGAGAAAATTGTGCAGGTCACCTCTGAATGTCACCATAAGAATTACGAGTGGCTTGAACGAATCCCTTACTGACTTTGAGAATTACACTTCTACTTGGTGAAGCACGTTACGGTATCATGCAATGAACGTCATCAGTCATCAAAGTCTTGATTACTAATGGTGGCAACCGGCGTCGATCAACACTAACTAGCGACCACCAATGTCTCCGAAGCTTTACTCATGTCTAGTGCAAACACCAGGTGACCAATGACGAGGTTTGTCTTTGTTTGTTGGATGTGGATGGTCGTTCTCTAACAGAAGTAATCGCTCTACATGTCCTCCGATGGCTCAGTCACGTTTTACCTACCGCCCACCATATCTTTTTCCGTGCTCTCTTCGCACGTGCTGGGCAAGAAACGCCGCAGCGGTCAGACCATGACATGACATAGAGGTATAAAAAAGCTAGCTTCAGCTTTTGATTCAGTTGGTGCAGCCCGCCTTCCAGATTAGGGCCCAAGGGATGAGGGCTGTCTTTGTTTGGAGAATCTGAGAGATATGGCCCAGAATAGAAATCAGTGGTGTGAACACTGCATGGTCTGTTGAAATTCCGTGCCCCATAAAGACAACAAATCAACACATAAGAGGATATCAAAAATTGTACGGTGAACCAAAAAGATGATATTCTTGTTACTCACTGCAAACTTTTGACCTCCATTTCATTCTGTTTTGTATCCCAACCCTCCACCTTCTTCTGTTATACTTGTTGTTGCATTGCTACTAAGCCTACTCGCAAGCCAGTGGTTAATATACATATATATACATATATATACACTGACTATTGCGAATGAATCGATCGTTTTCAGCAGAAAGCTGGCATAACCAATTCATCACATTTATCAGTAACAGAGTGGTAAAAAAGGTGAATTGGTGATGTTCAAAACAGCTGTGCCATTCGTGGCACTATGCACCAGTGATTGGGAGTGGTATTTGGTGACGAGAAACAGCTCAGTATAGGAGAACCGAATCAGGCAATGCGAATTTAAGTAGCTCTGTAGCTCCTTTCTAGCTCGAGGAGTGGATTTGCGATGAGCAATTCTCAAAGAATCATTGCGATTATTCCGTATCAGAGGCTGCAACTGAGGTTCGCATTGCATAATTCACATCGGCAGTTCAAGTATTAAGAAGGACCAGACAGAAGATAACCGAATACGCATAACTGACGGACGGCAAGGATCGCGAAACTGGTTGTGTGCTCCTGGGAAATTTTGTTCAGTTATTCCTGTACTATTCATCATTAAAACCGAATCAGTTGTATTTATGATGGCAAGAAATCGTGCGTAAGCGGTCAGGTAAAGACAAACGAATGATTCTGTCATAGAATGTGTTTTCCACAGTTTGTCGGGGTCGGGTGGCAATTCTGGATGGAAACCCACAAAACAAGTATGAATGTTTCCTATTACTGTTCATAACAATATAGAGGTGCAACGACGAGCCAGGTTTGCCGAAGCAGATAGTGGGTGGAANAGCAGATAGTGGGTGGAATAAAGCCAAGGGCGGTCAAACCAAGATCTGGCATGAGGGTATGAAAACCCTAACCAAAAGACTCGGCCACATAGATCCCATGAGGCTCCCTGGCTGGGGACCTCGGGATGATGGTAACCGATGGTTAGAGACACTGATTGATATGGCTGTGTCGTAAACAATGGCCTTCGTGCATCTTCTCAATTTCTTTGCAACCTCAGGTCACTGAAAGTCTCCAATTTCACTTTTATTCTATTTTCAGCCTTCATATCTTTCTCCTACAGTTCTTCCAAATGGGCAGCCAAAAGACAGCAACCAAAACCGGCGCACCAAAGTGCATGGTTTGTGGCTGTACAAACTGAAACTGAAACTGTACAACAGTATTCTTCATATACCAACGCCGCAACGCACATCATTCATA